ATATATATATATATATATATATAAATATACATATATAAATATATATCTATTTCTCTCTATTTTTCGACACAATTTTTTCTAACATCATTGTATACGCTTTTTAAACATTTCTATTACACGTAAATAGCATGTCACAAGAATCACACGTGCAATTATAAAAGCATGATATTATATTAGGCGTGTGCGTTCACAGGACCATGATCGTTCTATTTAAAATTCATTAGAAAAAATTATTTAGTGATGAACAAACAAATTTTCAATTTGAAAAGAAAATAAAACGATAAGTTTCAGAATTAATTGTCGTTTATAAATATCAAAACATTTAGAACAATTTTAGAATTCAATTGTAATTTCAAAATGCTTATGAGTTATTTTGATTCTTTCCAGTCTTTCGATTCTAGACGATCTATGAAAGACACGTTCACTTACACACACACTCGGAAATATACGATCGAAAATAGGTAAGCCGCCATAGCTGCGGCTTCATTTTCAGCAGTGTCTATCTATGGCCTCCATACTTGTCGTATTTTTTCTGTTTATCGTCTTTTTTACATCACATTTTTTAAACCGTCAAACATCTCACATTTTCCAAATTAATTTGATCCTAACCTTTGAGCATTTATTTTTCAATCGATATTCAAAAGGTTTATTTTACAGCCTGCACTTTTGAAAAGACATTCTGTTTCGTAAGACTCTTATGTTAAAAAAAAAATATTCCTTTTCATCGAATCCTTTCCTTTTACAAACAAATTCCTATTTTTTCCCCCTCTTATATATTTTTCAATAAATATAAATGTATACTAAAATATTTAATTCGATGTGTTTCCTTTTTGACAAATTAATTGAAAAAATTTCGTCTCAAACAACAGTACCGTACAAAAAGGTTCGTCCTACCCCTATATAAAAAATAAAAAAAAAAGCATAAAAAAAATATAAATAGAATATTTTACTCCATATATTCAATCTCAAAGCGTGGAGGAATCTAAATCGGTAGAACAAAAGAGCCTTAACCGTCACCTTGATTACACAATATGACACGCATTATATATCTATTTGCTCCCTAACAATCACCGCCTAGAAAAGTAACAAGCTCGGTTATTTAGCATTATATTTCTTATTATTATTATCGCCACAATATTGTTTTTTGTGAATGTAATCGTTGTGTTACAACATTCTCTCTCCCCCATCTTTCCCTGCTGCCGGACCCGAAGGAGGAAAAAAGGTGACGAGTTTCGGAGCACCTAAATCCACAATTGCTATCACTATGAATTAATGAATACATAAGAATAACAATTTTCGAGCAAAAAAATAAATAAATAGTAATGATAGAATATATATAAATATATATATAATAATAATAAAAAAAAAAAATAAAATATAAAAAATAATTATACTCAAAGTAATATTAAAAGTAAATGTTCTTTTTTTGCAAGAAAAAAAAGAAAGACTGAAAAAAATAATGTGTTCGAAAAAAAATAAGAAAAAAAAAGTAATAAAAGTAACAAAAGAAAGATGCAATCACTGCCAACGCCCACCCACTCACGACCTACGTCACACCCTTATCACTCGTGCACCGGAATGCGCATGTGGCATGCCTTCCTAGCCTGCATCCATTATTCTTTATTACATACCTATAATACGTAATAAATTTCTTGATAATTACATAGACGTTTAACTTGAACGTTTGCCTTTCGTTATTTTGTTCTAGTCATTCGTTTCCCTTGTGTTCGTTATCGTTGCGTGTTGCGTCGTTGTTGCACGTTTTTGTATTATCAAACGAGCGATAAAGTATACCGGAGGTGTTTGAAAGAAAGAAATAAAAAGACATGTTTGTTATTTGTGAAAAAAATGATCTACAAAAAAACGAATATGTGTTCAAGAGAGCGCAAATAAAAAAACGAATGTACGCATCCGGTATACTCGATCGTATCGTTTGTCATCGAAGAATCGCAAGAGCAGCTCCGTTCTAACGTTTCTTCTGTCCTACCATATAGACCTAGAAAAAGCAGAGTACCAGGTCTAAATCTCCTACGAGAGATTTTGAGTCCAGACACACCGGACTCGTGCCGCGGTCGTCCCCTCGGTAAGATCTCTCGCGCAGCCGACGGCCGATTCGTCGTGGCGGATTCGGTTCTCAGTTCGGCGAACAACAGCATCCTGGATGCATCTAGCAGCGACGACGGCGGCTTTCTGCCTAAACAACGGCTCAAGTCCTCTTGGCGACGTCCCTTAGTCGGCAACAGTCAACTGAGTCTGAGATCATCGGGTAGCGGTGTATCGATAGGTGCTCTACACGCTGCTCACCATCATCATCAGGATGCGGTTAATTCATTGGCCAGGATACCACCAACTATCTGTACGATATCGTCGCCGAGATTCTTAGCGAGTTCACCGAGCGGTCCCAACGTACCCTGGACACCGTTATACTTTAGCGACCTCAGTTCCGTGAGACAACCATCTTCAGGGGAGAGATCCTTCCCTACCCCTCCAAGTTACCTCCAATTGCGAACCGTTCATCAACGTTACAGTCAAGAGCTTCCATCTTTGAAGGCGATCCACGCCGAGTCCAGAAGATTCGTACCAGTACAGCCTCTTGCTACCTCGTCTCCGCCTCAATCCGCTGGTCGACCAAGGGCGAGACTTCCACCGAGACACGCCAGGCACGCCAGGTCGGCGCCTGAACTGGCTGCGTCTCCGGATTTGGAGACCTCGCCTGAAAGTAGATCTAGCAGTTCAGGCTTCGGTAGCAAGAACACGTCTCAACAGAACCAGAGCTCGAGGAGCGGAAGCACGGTGGCTGAATGGAGACCACCACCTTACCGGCCGCCGCCCCCTCCTCTGGTTGGTCGATGGTTGGAGCTTCAGGACCAGGCGAAGGTCAGCCACTTGAAGAATGCCGTGGATGCTGGTAGCGTCGATGGACATTACGAGTTCGATCCTGCCTCTTGTACGCCTACACCTACTTCTGCCTCAACTCCCACTAGAGAGGAGAGACCGCCGGTACATCAAATACACGCCATTCATGTACCGCACGTTCATCAAGTACATACTGTTCATCATCAACCATCTAGATACAGCAGGGATAATATCGAGGCTAGGGTACAGGCCATGAAGGCTGAATTTCATCAATTTAGGCAGAGGCAGGCTAGGAGAAAACAAAGCACCCATTTGGAAAGCGCCTGTTAAAATAAGCTTGTCAAATTATAATTCATTCGACGATCATGGATGATTCGCATCGTGGTTACGATTGGTACGATTAGATACGGTCCAACAATAACCGAATAAAATCTAGTAACGAGACATTTACCATTGAATCGGATATATCGGTGGACCAAGAGAGAAAGAGAAAATCATCTGTCGCGGTCGAAGACAACCTGGTTTATGCGTGTTGCTTTCCTTTTTGGGAAATTATTCGGCGTAAGACCAATAAAATGTCAAGGCACAAAAACAACGAGAATCATCATCGCGTAACGGTATCGAAATAATAGGCGCGTTATAAAATGTCAATTCCGCTAGCCAAAGCAATCCTCTCTGATGTTGTTAAAATAAAACAAAAAAATAAAAAAGAATGAGAGAGAGAGAGAGTGAGAGAGAGAGAGAGAGAGAGTAAGAAAGAAAGAATGAAAGTGAGAGGACTGTTTTTACGGGCATCAAGCTCAGGATAACACGTGAGTTTTCCTCCCCCCTCGATCACGAAGAACAAAGAAGCAAAAAACAACGTAGTAGATACAAAAATACGTTCAGATGTTCGCATCTTTTTTTTACTAATTAAGAAAAAAAAAAGCGCATGCGAGATCATATTTAAATCGAACTAGTCTCTCTCTGAGATCGCCTATGACAGAAAGACGATCCAAAGAGGATGTGTGGGGGAAAACAAATAAATTAATACAAAATAATATTTAAAAAAAAAATAAAAAAACAGCGAAATTGCCTACGATCGATGAACGTCACCGCGTGCGTGACGTACAAAGACGGAAGAATAGAATCGAGAAAATGGAAGATGAAGAAAAAAAATGTGTTGCTGGTCGCGTTCTAAGATAAATACCAACCGCGCCTACGTCCAAATCAAGTGGACCGTGATTTTTAAATGTAAAGTAAAATAAGAAGTAATGAAACAAATAAAAAGAAAAAAAAAGGAAAAAAAAATAAAAATAATAAAAATCAAGGAACGCACCAAAAAAAAAAAAAAATATACGCTCAAGGGTAAAGATGACACAAGTGTCGACGAGAGGATGGACAATTGTTTTTTTGTAAAGCTCAGTGAAACTGCCCCGTGGCTATGAGCCGCGCAAAAAGATATCTCCCGCTGCTAGCACGAGATTAAAGGCGAGTCGTTAGAATGTAAGAAAACGAAATTGACAAGATGAATAAGATGAAGAAGAAGAGGATAGGAAATAATAAAACGAAGGAACGAAAAAAAAAGAAAGGATGAAGACGAGTAGATAGACAAACGGCATGACACTCCAAAGAAACTGTACCACTGTACGTGCTCCATATACCTTTTAACATACAAACAAACAAAATAATAAAAAACGAAACGTTAAGATTAAACGTAATCGTACGCTGTAAGTAATAATTAATGAAAATTAAAGCAAATGAAAAAAATAAAATAAAATAAAATAAAAAACGTAAGATAATCGAAAGAAATAACGAGATAAATTACACAGAATACAAGCATAAGAATACTCGACATAAATCCACACACACACACACACACACACACACACACATATATATATATATATATATATATATATATACACATACGAATAAATACACACAAGAGATACATTCGTTACATTATTAAAACACGCGCGTACACTTGAAGATACATTATAAAACAAGTCGGAATAGTACAGTAGAATCCCCTCCCCTCTACCTCCCGTGTATTAACACGGGTTCATCATATAATACAGATTCATATAACACGAATTCATATAAACACAACGCCAAAATTGTGGCAATATAACACGATTACTAAGGAGGCACTGCCCCCGATACACCCCCCGAAGCGAAAAAGCGTCACTTTTTCGCGATAGGCACGACCGTTGTAGTTCAAGTTTAATGGCTTACAATTATTTTTAAATAAAAAAATAAATAAAAATTGTCCTACACGATTTTTCAATCATTTTACGTTGCGTTTAATTATATTAAGTATAAATATTATAATTTTTCACAAATATGCTCGTCAAACAAAATAAGGGAAATAAAAAACGTTGAACTTTGAAATTACTCGTGGATCTTCGTAACTTTTTAATGTAATTTTGTTTTAAATTTGAAGTAATTCCATCCAACCTTTTTAGACGATAGAGAGTGGATACACGAACACGCATAAATGCGTTAATACAAAAAACATACATTTAGATTTTGATATGAAACGTACAGATCCACCATAAAAGGATTTTTTCGATATTTCTCAATTAGATTTCGAAATAAGATAATAATTCGCGTCTGTTATTGTTAAACACTTTTTCGCTCATATATCGAGTGCACGATGAACTTATTGCGGTCGTGCCTAGATAAATAAATAAAAAATAAAAATTAAAAAAAATTAAATAATAATAATAATAATAATAATAATAATAATAATAATAATAATAATAATAACAATAAAAAATAAAAAGTAATTATATCGATGAGCAATGGACTCGAAACGTGATATTAGGCCGAAGCTTGCCTCGAGATTGCTTGAGGACTCACTCGTACTGCACTGCCTGTTTAGGGTTTCGCTAGCGACCCAACATATTATCGGCACAATAATTTTTCTTAAGTAACTTAAACAAAATAAAACATTAATAAATAAAGATAAAAAAAAAAACAAGAAAATAATTAAAAAAAAAAAATGAAGAAAAACGAGAAGTAAAAAATAATGTTCTTTGAATCTACGCGCGCTCGGCCGGCGCGGTAAGATAGCGCGTAATACGCATGCGCACGCTCGCACGTAGCGTTTAACCCGCCCAGTTTAAAAACGACGGCTAACTTGGAGTCTCGAGGAAAATAGCATTTAATTAGCGTCCAATTTCAATTAAATTAATAATGAACGATATCGTCGACGACGTCATTGGTTTTTTCATTCAATTTTTATGTATTACTTTTTTATTAATAAATATCTATTTTTTTTCTTTGGTTTTTATTGTTGTTGTTGGGGCAATTATTCGCATCGCAATAAGAAACTAATCGATCGATTTTATCATTTCGTACGACATATCGTTCCTCTCTCTCGACCAAATCCTTAAAAATAATAAAAATATAATAGAGGAAGATGAAGAGGAAGAAATAGAAGAAAAAAAAACGAAGAAGAAGAAGAATACTAGACGACACGGTTGTTTTTCTTCGAGCGGATAAAACGTGCGTACATGCGTATGCGCAATCGTGTTTTTAATTGCCCATCAGCCGAGTTTTTAGCGCAAAAGAAAAGAAAATAAAAAGAGATATTAAAATTATTATTATGTACGTGTACGTGCGTATTACGCGTACATCGTCGCGATATATTATAAATATATGTATATATATATATATATATATATATATATATAT